AAAGTCTGAAAAAATCGGAAATCTAAAACGCATCTGGCCCAGGGATTTGGATAATGGAGGGTAGGCCAGTACTGCTGAGTCCTCCGCCTTCAGGATGTGGTGGGCAGTAAAAGTCAAAGTTGCTCAGTCCTGTCCAACTCTTTGCGACCCCACGGGCTATACAGCCCGTGAAATTCTCCAGGCCAGAATATTGGAGTGGGTAGCCTTTCCCTCCTCCAGGGGATCTTCCCAACCCAGGGATCGAGCCCAGGTCTCCCATACTGAAGGTGGATTCTTTACCAGCTGAGTCACCAGGGACAGAAAGGTATGCTTTTAATTTCTGGGGCTCAAAAAAAGGCAGGTATTTTTAATTCCTGGGGCTTCCATGGTGGCTCAGTGGTAAAGAATCCGTCTGCCAATGCAGGAGATGTGAGTTCGATCCCTGGGTCGGGAAGATCCCCTGGAGAAGGGAATGGCAACCCACTCCAGTATTCTTGCCCAGAAGCCCAAGGACGGAGGAGCCTGGAGGGCTACAGTCCATGGGGTCGCCAAAGAGTCGGTCACAACTTACCGACTGAACAACCACAATTTTTAATCTCTGGTTTTTATGGAGGAGAAGACAGAGGCTCCAAGAGGTTCTGAGATTTGTCTGGCGGCCCTCGGGAGAAGCCGGGTCTCACAGACTCAGCACTGCCAGGCGCAGGTAGACACCACGCGGTCTGGCCGAGGCAGCAGCAGGGCTGGGTTGTCAGCTGTGAGGATGCCACCTGGATCTGCCTTCCACTCCCTGCTCACTCCCTCCCCTTTCTCTTTCTCCCTGTTTTCTTACAGAAGAAAGTCTACTGTTTAATTTGAAAGCAACAACATCTGGATCTAAAGCATTACTGCTCTAGGAGGAAAAAAGCAAAACCTCGAATCCCCAGGGTGTGATGGTGAGGGTGCAGCCGGTTTGTCCCCTGCAGAAGAGGGCGGAGCCCCGCCTCTAACACAGGCCCCACCTCTAACACAGGCCCCGCCCAGGCCTGCCCCCTCCACTCCGAGAACACACCAGGTTTCACATCCCAGACGGCGGCTCTGAGGATGGAGTGGGATCCTGAAGCCAAGTCCTCCGGCAGCTGTCCAGGGATACCTGCACGTAAAGGGTCAAATTCCTCACCCCAACCACGATCGCCCCAGTTACCCACACAAAAGCAAACCTGCCTTTTCACCAAAGAATATCCCGGGCTCCTGGCTACACCCTTAGGACGTGCTGTTTCCACCTCTTGGCATCCTCTTAAGATGATTTCATCTTATTCAAAATATGAGTGGGTAAAGAGAGCAGATGGGGCTTCTCTGGTGGCTTAGAAAGTAAAGAATCCGCCTGCAATGCAGGAGACCTGGGTTCAATCCCCGGGTTGGGAAGATTCCCCTGGAGGAGGAAATAGCAATCCACTCCAGTATTCTTGCCACAAGAATCCCATGGACAGAGGAGCCTGGTGGGCTACAGTCCATGGGGTTGCAAAGAGCTGGACACAACTGAGCGACTAACACTTTCATTTTCAGAGAGTGGATAATGAAGGATTAACAGTGGGATTTGCCCTGAGTCCTACATAGGCCCAAAGGGGCCCAAGACTACATGTCCACCACCATGTCTGCCACCTCCATACTTTCATAAGACAATCAGGGCAGAGCTGAAAAGGCACTGGCGGGTACAAATGCAGGGACCAGTCCACTCCCGTTGTTCAGTCGCTAAGTCATGTCCAACTCTTTGTGACTTCATGGACTGCAGCACACCAGGCTTCCCTGTCCACCACTGCCTCCCGAAGTTTGCTCAGATTCTTGTCCATTGAGTCGGTGATGCCATCCAACCATCTCATCCTCTATCGTCCCCTTCTCCTGCTGTCCTCAGTCTTTCCCAGCATGAGGGTCTTTTCCAGTGAGTCAGCTCTTCTCACCCAGATGACCAAAGATTGGATCTTTTATGATTCTGGAAAATCGACTGTTCTTTAAATCCTCCCATGGTTATTCAGATAAGCATTATGATCACAGACTTCAGTAAAAATGCTTGATAGTTTTTCTTTTCATAATAAATTTTAGGCCTTGTGTAGACAATGAAAATTTAAAGACATGACAATATCTTTTTATTGATAGATACTATGGTTAAATTTATATATTTTCTTGGGCTCCAAAATCACTGCAGACAGGGACTGCAGCCATGAAATTAAAAGACAATTGCTCCTTAGAAGAAAAGCTATGACAAATCTAGACAGTTTATTAAAAAGCAGAGACATCACTTTGCCAACAAATGTTCCTATAGTCAGAGCTATGGTTTTTCTAGGAGTCATATACAGATGTGAAAGTTGAACCACAAAAAAGGCTGAGCACCAAAGAACTGATGCTTTCAAATTGTGGGGCTGGAGAAGACTCTTGAGAGTCCCTTAGACTGCAAGAACAAATAAGTCAATCCTAAAGGAAATCAACCCTGAATATTCACTGGAAGGACTGATGCTGAAGCTCCAATAATTTGGCCATCTGATGCAAAGAGCCAACTCATTGGAAAAGATCCTGATGCTGGGAAAGATTGAAGGCAAAAGGAGAAGAGGATGGCAGAGGATGAGATGGTTAAATAGCAACACTCACTCAATGGACATCAATCTGAGAGAACTCTGGGAGATAGTGAAGGATAGGGAAGCCTGGTGTGATGCAGTCCATGGGATCACAAAGAGTCAGACACAACTTAGCCACTGAACAATGGTTAAGTTACGGCTGCAACACAGAAATCTTTACAGCGCAAGTCGACTGCATTTTGGAAACACGCATTGTCTGGGTGTCTCACCAGAGTTCTTTCCTAAAGAGCAGATCTGGAGAAGACAACGAATCTGTACATTGGAATTATGACGGGAGTGGGAGTTAAAGCAGGTATATGAAAACAAGGACTTTCAGAGATTCAGGGGCAGATTAGTCTCTTCCGGCGTTAGTTTATGCATGTGCCACACAGAAATCACACTCATGTCATAAAATGAAATAATTCCATGAGAAAAAGCTTTGCAAAGTCTAAATCAAAATGTGTGTATTTTATTCTTTTATATAAAATCAGCTTCCCTGGCGGCTCAGATGCTAAGGAATCCGCCTGCAGTGCAGGAGATCTGGGTTCAATCCCTGGGTGGGGAAGATGCCCTGGAGAAAGAAATGGCAACCCACTCCAGGATTCCTGCTTGGAGAATCCCATGGACAGAGGAGCCTGATGGGCTTACAGTCCACGGGTCCCAAAGAGTCGGACATGACTTGGCAACTAAGCGCACATATAAAATCAACTTACATCTCCACCTCAAGGAGCATGAGAAATCCTTGATGTTTCTAAACCAGACTCAGACTAGTCTTTACGGCTCATGCATGCTGATTCGGGGCAGAAACCGACACAATCTGGTAAAGCAATTATCCTTCATTAAAAAAACAAACAGCAACTCCTTCAGCATTTGGTTCCTGTTTATGCTGATGACACCCTCATGCCCCTAGGCGTCCAAGCTTGGAAACGTGCTAGAGACCTAGATCTGATGCAAGAATGCAAGACCTACTCTGATGCAAGAATGGTCAGTTCCTCCAAAAGAATCTGCTCAGGTCAGCCCCGTGCTCAGAAATCATTGACAACTGGCAACCGTTCTTGCACAACAGGTCGCCCCCAAGACCCTCCCCGTCTGGCCCCATCCACCCTTCACTCCATCCCTGCCTCTGCACGCCAGCCACCCCAGCCACACAGCCCTGCCCAGCGGTCTCTCTGCTGGAACCTCCATCCCCAGGCACCCTGTGTGGTCACCTTCAGCTCCGAGTCCCCTGCAGAGCCGTTCTGCCCACCCTGGTGATGCTCACGTCCCTGGGCTAAGAGCACAGAAACACACCCCGGTCCTTGGACCACTGCTTCTGCTTGAAATAACACTTTATGTGAAGTCTCTCTTGCTTCCTCAGTTATGAAGTCCACAAGAGCAGTGATTCCTATTTTCACTCCTGCAGTGTGATCTCAGTCCTGGGACATAACGGTACTTGTTCACTGAACAAGTAAATCAATCCATCTTGGGGTCTTCTCCTCCATGTACCCCCCACCCCCGCTCAACACTCTCCAAGAAGTAGAGAGCACATACAGCGCCAGAGGGACGGAGCCCTCGCAGAAGCCAGGCCGCTGCAAATCCCCTGCCAGCCCTCTGGGTAATTAAGTTCTTGGCAGAAGAAATACCCTCATCATCTAGTTTTATTATTCTTCCAAAGCACAATCCCAGAAGCAAATTGTGTTTGAGCTCTTGTAAACCATCTGACACCTCAGAGAATTCATTCTAGCTCCGAGGACAGAGCTCTTGTTGTGTGGAGGACAAGAGCCGTCCCACAAACCAGGCAGACCCCATGAAACCAACGGGCCCTGACGCTTTGTCCTCAACAAAAGGGTTCAGGGCAGCCCCTTGCTCAAAAATCATTGACAACTGCCAACCGTTCTTGCACAACAGGTCGCCCCCAAGACGCTCCCTGTCTGGCGCCATCCACCCTTCACGCCATCATTGGGGTGAAGCGGGGGTTACTCATGAGGACACAGTCTAGATCCCAGAGGAGCTGGTGTTCCAGGCCCAGCAAACCACAGCCTTAAGTGGCAGACCCGGCCCTGCCCGCCCTGGTGAGGAGAGTTGGCCGCGGTCTGTCCACGCCAGTCCCGGAGGCCACGGGACCAGGAGCTCCGCCGTCCACCAGCCGGCCCTTCGAGAAAGACCCTGCAGACCCGTTACAGAAAAATGTAACAGGAAAAAATAACCCTGGGGATGTCTTAACGATGCACAGTTTTCTATTTAGAGTTCCCTCCTCATACCTCTCATGCAGAGGGGGCTCTACGTTGTTTCTGAAGAAGCAGGTGAGTCCGTCTCCCTAAGGAACAACCGCGGGGCCTTCCAGGCGGGAGAAACCTTCTACAGAAAAGCCCACTGAGGATCCTGACCCCCGGGGCCCCGACAGCTCTGTCTCCCCACCGTGAAGTTCCGCATACTTTACAGACGTGAGAGACTCACGGGCGCTTTCTGCTCTGCAAGCGGTGCAGCCGGCCCGCAGCCTCGGCCCGGCGTCCCCGCCTCTGCCACCTTCTCCCCCACGTTGCTGGTCTCGCGGGCACCGGGCGCCCGCCCCTCGCAGGACGGCAGCTTTGGTTTCGAGCCGCTGCTGAGCTCTCCGGGCTGAGCTTTTCTGAAGAGAAACAGACGGAGAATTATCAAAACACATCCTGCAGTAAAGACAAGCTTTCCCCCAAGTGGATGTCTACGTTCAAACGATGCGAACGGCGCTGATGGCAGGCTGAGCCCGTGCGAGGCATTTAAAGACGTGAACCAAGTCTTCACAGCAACCCTGCGGGGACGGTGCGGTCATCCTGGCTTTGCTTAAAGAGGCTCAGGATAACCGTTATCCCGCATCCAAGGCCCGGCAGTGGCCAGGACTGGAATCCAGGTCTGCCCGGCTCCCGAATCAGAAGTTGAACAGCCTTCCTTCTGCTCAGGAACAGAACAGAGCGGAACAGAGCACGCAGCCTTCGCGTCCTCAGCAGCACAGTCCCGTTTTTATCCTGTGTGCCCACCTACGGCTGTGAAGTCACAGCCCTGGGGCATGGGACAGAGGCCCCCTTTCTGTTCCTGTGTCTCCTCTCATGCAGGGCTGCCCACACTCGGGGCGGGGTGCCCAGAAGCCACCCTAGCACCCGGCAGAGGGGACCCACGTCCTGCCCCGAGTCTGCCACCCACGTGACCTTCCTGTGTCTGCAGTTGATTATGTCACTTCCTCACCCAGCACCTCCTCACTGTCTACAGAATAAGATCCAGAGTCCTAAACCTGGCCTTCGAGGCACGTGAGACCCCAACCCCCATCACCCACGTGCACCTCAAACACGCAGAACGATTCACCATCATCCCACGCATCAAATACACTCTATCGGGGGTCCTGATGACTTCCTGCCTGCCTTTTCCCACCTGACCTCCTGCAAGCTGGAAAACTACTTACCTTTCCAAGTTCTCCCCCTGGGATCAGGATGGGAGCCCCTGCCTGGCCTGCATCACAGCGGACACACAGCCCGCGTGGCCACCCGTCTCTCCTCCTGGACCACAAGCTCCCGGTCTGTCCCTGAGAGCCGGGCATGGACAGACCCCCCTCGGGCCTGCTCTCCTCAGCAGCTGCCCTGGAGCTTGAAGCCCGAAGGGGTCCCGGAGCCTCACTCACTCCCGCAACTATGCTGCTCTTGCTCAACGTTAGGGAAGCCCAGGGTCACGGGAAACCTCATCCACAATGTCCCAGTGGGGATGCAGGACAGCCGACGTGGTGGCGTCATGAGTGAAGGGGGTCCCCCGAGGTCGGAAGGGAGAACTTTCCAGAAACTGGATGCCACCGTGTGCCCTCAAGGCCCACCTGACCCGCCCACAGGCTCTATCAGCCAAGAAGCACAGCGGCCCCTCTGGCCTGGCTGGGCCCTCCCGGCCCCGCGGGTCCACACCTGAGCTCCTGCGTCTCCTGCTCGGCCTTCAGCCTCGCCCTCTCCGCGAGGATCTCATCACAGATCACGTCGTAGGGTTTGTCCAGGTGGTGTTCGCCCATCACCCAGACCCAGACCTCCTTGTCGGCTCCCAGTTTCCAGTGAACGGATTTGCCGTTGTCTGCAAGCAAAACAGAATCTGATTTGAACAAGTATCTTCAGCCGTGGGTTAAAAGGTTTTCCACCGTTCAAGTATTTAAAGATCAGATGACGCGAAGAACATCCAATGTGCTCTGAGCAAGCAGCCCCTTCCAGGGCGGTGGCTGGATTGTCCGTTTTAAATCATGATGAGTGTGGGTTCTGCACATGCCCTTTTTATAAGTGAAGACCCAAGGTGGGAAGACCACTGTCTGCGTTATCTCTAGGGTAACGGAGCCAACATCAGACACATGAACCTTTGAAGCCTAAGAATCTCCCTGCAACCCAGCTGCTCTAGGGCACGGCGTGTCCACCATCTTCCTAGGACTCACTGCTGGGTCCGAGGCGTGCGTTTTAGAGTCACACTAGCTTTGCTTTAAACCCTAGCCCTGCCACTCAGCTGTACAATTTGGACAAATCATTTAATCTCCCTAAGCCTCAGTTTCTTGTCCACACAACGGGAACGCTAACGTCCGCTCTGGAGGACAGCTGTGGGGGAGGCAGCCATGGGGGCAGGTCCCCGGGTGTCTGACACATGACAGCGCTCATCAGAGCTGGGTGCAACCGCTCCTCTGTGCTGTTGACGGATGTGGCAGCTGAGAAACTCCCATCAGCCATGAGAGACGACGCGCCTGGAGTGGGAGACGTGGGGAAGCTCCTAGAATAGCCCCGTTTCCTGCTGGTTGCTGTGTTTACTTTATAATTCCTGCTCCTCTGACGGGCACATCAGGCTCCCTGACACCCGGGACGGTGGGCCATCCCCTGGAGAAGTCGGAGGGGGCGCAGTCCTAGGTCTGAAGGTCCCGGAGGGGACTCACCAGGGCCGTGAGGGTCCTCAGCTCATCCTCATCCAGAAGCCTGAGCCCGAGGACACATGCTCACCAGCGCTGCTGAGTGTGTGACGGGGGGCGGCTGCCGGAAGGCGGGCCAGGCCGGGGAAGGGTCGCGGGAAGCAGGGGCCAGCTTCCCATGGAAGAGTCTCCGTCCAGCGGACGGAGGACCAGCGTCCTGCTGTGGACTCAGGACATGGCCACTCGGGGCCAGCCTAGCTCTTCCTCTGGGCGCCTTCCATCCTCAGGGCTGCAGGGATCCTCTGGGTACAAGGTTCTCAGTAGGACAGTCAAGGCGTCCCTGGGGGTTCAGGGGTAAAGAATCCACCTGCCAATGCAGGAGACACAGGTTCGATCCCGGGGCCGGGAAGACCCCCCCGCCCCATGCCGCGGAGCAGCCAAGCCCGTGCCCCACAGGTCTTGAGTCTGCGGCTTTGCGCCCGGGAACCGCAACTAGAGAAGCTGCTGCAATGAGAACACACACCACAACTAGGGAAAAGCCCGTGCAGCAATGAAGACCCCGCACAGTCAAAAAGTAAATAAATTATCAACAATAAATAGGATATTGGGGGGGCAGGGAGGAGGAGTCAGTCTGTGCTCAGAGGTGGATGCAGGTATGAGGGCAGGTCAGTCTCAGGTGGGCCCTGGGTGGGGAGGCCGGGTCAGCTCCGGCTCGTTGAGGAGATGCCCACAGTTTCCTTCACCGTGGGATGCTGGCATCCCTCACAAAGCCCATGTACTGCCTCCTCTGGGGCAGCTAAGAATGTTCCCACTGTGTCCACCTCTCGGTTTTCACCTGACAACCCTCTACCAACGTTCTGGCAGCAGGAGGGAGGCGGTCGGAGACGGCGTGGCCGAGAGCCAGGGGAGGCGGGAGGGGCCCAGGAGTCCCTGCAGCCCCTCTCGGGACAGCAACACACACTCCCCCCAAACTGTGTCCCGGAGCATAACGCAGGGCACTCGGGTGTATGACTACCGTCGGGGGAGGCCCTGCTCTGGGGGAGAGGAATCCAGAAACCCTACGAACACAGGAGGGGCTGAGAAGCAAAGGGGAGTGGCAGCCAAGGGGAGGACAGAGCTCCCATACCTCTAAGTGGGTGGGGCAGGTGTAAGAGACGGCGGCTTTGGGGCAAGAAGGAAGGGGGTTCTTGGACGTGTCAGATAGCATCCCTGATGGGAGTCTCTGCTCTAACGGCCCCTCTCCTTCGGGGCAAAGACCCTGGGGTCCTCGGGGGGTCCACACAGCTCCCTGAACCCGGGGGGGGGTGCCATGACGCCCTCGGCGTCATGCCAAGACAGGGAGGGCTGTCTCCCACGACATTCCCGCGGCGTCCCTAAGGCTGGCGGGGTGCAGAGCTGGGTGCTGCGGGGTGCACGGGGTGAGACACCCTCCTGCAGGTCACCAGGGCCTGGGAGAGGAGGGCAGGGCGGCAGGTCACCGACTTGATGAACTTCGCCACCTGTCTGCTTTGTGCCAGGCCCTGAGGTGGACTCTTGCAAACAAGACAGACCAGTCCTGGCTCCCAGGGACTCACATTCCAGCTAAAGGAGGCAGGAGCTGAACCACTGGTTAATTACGAAAGTAGCAGGACTGAGACGATGACGTTAGTCACTCAGTCGTGTCTGACTCTTTGCGACCCCATGGACTGTAGCCCGCCAGCCTCCTCTGTCCGTGGGATTTCCCAGGCAAGAGTACTGGAGTGGGCTGCCATTCCCTTCTCCAGGGGATCTTCCCAAGCCAGGGATCAGACCTGGGTTTCCTGCCTTGCAGGTGGATTTTTTACAATCTGAGCCACCTGGCTGAGGGAGGGGTGTTAAATTTCTAGAGATGGGGGCGGGTGGGCAGGGGGACATACTCTGTGACCAGGAGAGATTACGTCCAACAAGGATTCAGAGAAGGCAGGGGGCTTCGAAAGGACAGAGAGGAAATAAGTTCCTGGTGTTCAGCTGGGGAGGCTGGGTATGGAATTTAGACAGAGAACAGAGTGGCTTTGGTGCTGGACACGAGGAACAGCATGGCCGAAGCCCAGGGACGGGAACCGGTGAGGGGCCACGTGGAACCAGGGTCTCCGCCAGAGCTGGCGAGGCTTGAGAAGCTGCCTGGCTGTGGGCTGAGGTCACACGGGGAGCGGGAGCCCGCCTGCCCAGGCCCCGGACTCCCGGTGAAGGGGTTTACATGGAGGGCATGTGTTGCATAACTCCAGAAAGCTGTACCAAAATCCCAGTGTTTACGGCACTTTATTTCTCCAGTCCAAGTTTCCTCTTTGATAAAACAGAGGGGATGAGTCTGAACTCACACACAAGTGCTCAGAAAGGATTAATTCCGTGTTCTCGATCTAATGGACCAACCAAGAGTCCACAATTGTCAGACATGACACCACAAAACTCCCAGAAGTGAACATAGGCAAAACATTCTCTGACAAAAATCAATAACTATTTTCCTAGCTCGGTCTCCCAAGGCAAAAGAAATAAAAGCAAAAACAAACAAATGGGACCTAATCAAACTGAGAAGCTTTTGCACAGCAAAGGAAAACCATCAACAAAATGTAAAGACAACCTATGGATTGGAAGAAAATATTTGCAGACAATGTGACCAACGAGGCTTAATTTCCAAAATAAACGAACAGCTCATACAGCTCAATACCAAAAGCAAAACAAAACAAAACACCACCCAATCAAAATGTGAGCAGAGAACCTAAATAGATGTTTTTCCGAAGAAGATACCCACATGGCCAACAGGCACATGAAGAGATGCTCAACATCACTAATTATTACAGAAATGCAAATCAGAACTACAATAAGGTATCACCTCACACTGGTCAGAACAGCTATCATCAAAAAGATTACAAATAATAAATGGTGAGAGGGTGTGGAGAAAGGAAAACCCACCTACACTGTTGGTGGGAACCAAAGTTGGTGCAACCACTATGGAAAACAGTATGGAGGTTCCTTAAAAAACTAAAGCTACCATATGACCCAGAAACCCCACTCCTGGGCACACAGGGGACATCCACTGACCCTGGCTGCAGCGTCCACATGCTGCCTGAACTCGCAACGCCCCAGAACTGCCCACCGCTCTGGCTGCTCCTCACAGTCATCCACCTCTGACCCAGAAACCAGGGGGCAAATGCCTAGCTGGCAGGGCCTCTGGGATTTGGGTGCTATGGCCATGTTCCTTCTGACCAATGCCCGTGCCAGGTCTGCCTTGAAATATGTAGAGCATCACCGAGGCTGTTAGTAACCCTACTCAGTCACGACGAAATCGAGGCTCCGGGAAGGTAAGTTCCTTGTCTGGGATCGTAGAGCTGGTGCAATGGGACCAGAATTCCTTACCTGCCTGTGAGGCAGTAAAACCTGTGTTTAGAGCCACCTCTGATGCACTGTCCAGACTGAAATACCTTTGAGAGCAAAAACAGGAAATCCACCATCAAGAATGGCAGGAAATGAATGTTTGCAGGGCTCTGCTGAGCGAGCTGGGCACGGGGTTGCCGTCTCGGCCCTGCAGAGGAGGGCAGCGGCAGCCCCACGCGTGTTTCCACGGAGACCAAGGCCCAGTCCTGGGCTTCCCTGGTGGCTCCGCAGTGAAGAATCTGCCGGAAATACGGGAGCCGCAGGAGATGCGGGTTCGAGCCCTGGGTCGGGAAGATCCCCTGGAGGAGGGCATGGCAACCACTCCAGTGCCTGGAGAATCCCCATGGACAGAGTAGCCTGGAGGGCTGCAGTTCATGGGGTCGCAAAAGAATCGGGACACGGCTGAAGGAATTTAGCACAGTAAGGCCCAGTCCTATGTGGACTTCCCTGAAGGGAGTACAGGTAATAATTCTGCAAGTCTGTGTTTTAAAACTTTGAAAGTATTTATTCTAGAGTCAGAAGGGACAGGAAGGGAGCTGGAGAACCCACAGAGCGCCACCGTCCCGGGCAGCAGGTGGTGGCACAGACAAGCGAGTAGGTGACTCGGGGGGAGGCTGGCTGGCCCACGGCTCCAGCGGGTGAGAGGGAGCGTCCGAGTGGGCATCCGAGTCCAGCACTCAACACGTGAGACCCAAGGCTGTCACACTATCCAGCCCAGAGTGAGCCCAGAGCGGGCTGGGACCAGTGGCTCAGAGCAGACTCAGATCTGCCGTTCAAACCCAGACTCCACCAGTGACCTCCC